GAAACCATTTTACTGACATTGTTAAAGGTAATGGTTCCAAATAGAAAAGATGAAAAATAACCAAGGGACCAAATTTGGTCTATAACTTTAGATATATATATCTCTTTTTTTTTTAGTTAGCTGTGCAGTGCAACTCTTTACGGGACTGTGTGCTGGAACATAAAAAAAACAGATTATCACTCATTATCATTTTGCACAAGACACCAAAACCCTCATTGTGATTACAAAAGAAACATGTGAACTCTTCTAGAGCAATATGCCACACCTGCAATCTCAACTGGTAAGGGAGTGATTCAGTCACTGACTCTGAATTAATGGAAATCATGTCAGTGGCATTTGTGCAATGTCACTAGTTATTTTCAAACACCTCAGTACTAGTCCCCCTTGGTTGACTCACCCTCAGCCAAGTGGGTGAAGACGAATTTCACTCTACCAAAATAATCAATAAACATCCTCAGTTCTCAATCCTCAATCCTCAGTTCTTGGGCGTCGTTTTTCTTCATGAACTACTGTTTAATGAAGAGCTTGAGGGGTAATGTGTGGGGTCAAGTCTCATTTTGTTATGGCATGTCAGCAGATATGAAACTAGCCTAAATTCCAAAACAGAAGTCTGAAGGTGGTTTTGTTGGCTTGGGGAATTTCCCTTGTGCATGTGCAATCACATTTTCTACTCCATGTAGAGCTGAGGTGACCCTGAAGACTGGCATGTCTGAACCACTTCACCTTCTTGTTTCCCTTATCTCACCTCGCCTTGGCCCCAGCTTCTTTTCAGCCCTGTTTGTATAAATCCACCTTACAAAGGGAAAAGCCGCGCACTCCTAGATATCACCCCCCCTCCTCCCCCCAAAAAGAAAACCAAACCACAGGGATTTGCAAAAGTGGAGATGGGGTGGACGAGACAAAACGGGAAAAGAAGTGGGATTTGCACATGATATAAATATATTGTTTTTGAGAAGTTATGGCGGAAAAGATTATGATCAAGAACAGCTGGGGCGAAAGGCTTAGCTGTCATCATCATTCCTGAAGGCCGGTTAAGAAATCTCTAGAAATCGAATTCTCTCAGTCTACAGAGTTAACATACTGTATTTACCCTACGTCATACTTTTCACAAGCAGCAGACAACACAGCAGTGCACATTTATATATAGAAAGAAAACAACAACATTGGTGGCTTATTTTCACGGTAAAGACTTCAGTGAATGGAAATGATATCGAGGGCAAATTTAATGGATAAGATGGATTTACAACACTGCATTCTGAGTTATATTAACAATGTATTTAAGTTCATCGGTGTTGATCGGATTCTAAAAGAAGCAAATGAGAAGTGTGAGCAGTGGGTCCTAAAGAAATAGCCCTATGGTCCTTTCACTGTGAGTTCTGCCTTGTTACTAGCCTCTCTAGCACAGCTGTAGGGGGCAGCAGTTTTCATTGTTATCCATTATGACTGACTACAACGTAAAGTGGGGACAACAGTGTCAGCCCTCTACAGAGTAACAGAAAAAGTTGGGTGGTTGTGGGCACTATCTCCTCACAGCAGTGGGGACACTCAAAGTAAACCAGGCAGGGTTCCTTAATTTGAAGCCATGTTTTTTGCTTTTCACGTTTTGCTGAGTTCAATCACATGTAACTCTGTAATATAAGTAATGCACTAAATGTGACTGGCTGGGAAGCTTCCACCATTTCTGCACTGCAGTCCTTAATAAATTAGAATTTTTGTCCCATGCTTCTAGGATTTTTTGGAGCATAAGCTATTAAACAATGGAATCGGAGATAGTTGCTGCAGTCAGTCATTCATGATAAAAGCATTTAGTTTATATAAATAATAATGGCATTAGAAGTAGAGTAGGATGCGGAACTTTTCACTTCAGGAAGATCAACCAGAAAAGACAGTCCAGATACTGATTTATTTTAAAACTGAATTTTGTTGTGGCCAACTTAAAATTAAACTGCACTGCATAGTTAAATATCCAAGACTCCAGAGTATGCACAGTCTGATTTAGGGTTGAAGATCTGTCCAGGGATGAGTAGAAATATTTCTATTCCTGTAGAACGTTTTCTTTACAAATATCAAGCAAATGCACTTTTGGCAAAGAAAAAGGATTACTATCCCTAACAGAAAATACACAGTGCTTAGCCAGCATCCCACCATTAATACAAGACATCGATTTTGATGATGGATCACTACAGCAGGCAACATACAGTACATTATTGGGACAATGTAAGTACACATGGTCCCAGTGTTGAAAGTTGTGTTGTTATCAGCAGTTTCTCCGAAAAAGGCGTAAGGATATGTGTGTCTTTCTGGCTGCTGCCTCTTCAAAGATGTATTC